TTTAGAAGATCTTTCTTTGTGTCTGCTTTTCAAACAAATTGAAATAAGCAAATAAACGTTCAGAAAAAAAGAATAGTCATGTCGCATAAGCAGAATCAGGGTAAAAGAAAGAAGTTCATCTTTCACCTCTACTCACACAGGACTTAACCTCAGCCAACAAGCAGTTCTAAGTGACACGAGAAATGCTGTAATCTTGTCCTCCTGGGAAGACATCCCACTGACAGGGAGGTGAACCGAGGGGCCTCTGTGTAACCAGACAGAGCTGGAGAGTGGCCTTGGATCACATACGATAGCCTCTCACCTTTCTTACCAAATGCCTGGTGTTGCTTTTTTTTTTAATTTTAAATATTTTATTTTCATTACAAAGTCAGATATACAGAGAGGAGGAGAGACAGAGAGGAAGATCTTCCATCCGATGATCCACTCCCCAAGTGAGCACAATGGCCAGTGCTGTGCTGATCCGAAGCCAGGATCCAGGAACTTCCTCCAGGTCTCCCACACGGGTGCAGGGTCCCAAGGCATCCTCTACTGCTTTCCCAGGCCACAAGCAGGGAGCTGGATGAGAAGTGGAGCTGCTGGGACTAGAACCGGTGCCCATATCAGATCCCAGCAAGGACTTTAGCTACTAGGCAACGGCATGGGGCCCTTTTTTATTATTATTATTATTATTTTTATTGAAAAGTCAGTTAAACAGAGGAGGAGAGACAGAGAGAAAGATCTTCCATCCATTGAATCACTTCCCAAGCGACCGCGACAGCCAGAGCTGAGCCGATCTCAAGTCACGAGAATCTTCTGGGTCTCCCACACAGGTGCAGAGTCCCAAGGTTTTGGGCCATCCTCGACTGCTTTCCCAGGCCACAAGTAAGGATCTAGATGAGAAGTGGGGCCACTGGGATTAGAAGCAGATCCCATTTGGGATCCCGGCACATGCGAGGCAAGGACTTTAGGTGCTAGGTTACTGCACCAAGCCCCTGGTGTAGCTTTTAAGTTTTATTATTTATTCACTTATTTGAAGCACAGAAGTGTATTTATTTGATATGGCTGCCACAACCTGGGCTTCATCAGGTCAAAGTCAGGAAGCAGAAGCTCTACCAGGTCTCCCACGTGGGTGACAGGGAGCAAAGCAGCTGGGCCAATTTCCACTAACTGCCCAGGCATATTGGCAGGGAGCTGAATGCAAGTGGAATAGCTGGGATTCAGACACAGGATGCTAGCACAACATCTGTGCTGATACTGCTTCTTAAAAAGATATTTCTTTATAAAAAAAATATGTCACAGTAGCCTAGTGGCTAAAGTCCTCACCTTGCATGAGGCGGAATCCCATAGGGGCACTGATCCAGGCTGCTTTACTTCCCTCCTAGCTCCATGCTTGTGGCTTGGGAAAGCAACTGAGGACAGCCCAAAGCCTTAGGACCCTGCACCTGTGTGAGAGACCCGAAGAGGCTCCTGGTTTCAGATCAGCTCAGCTCTAACCATTGGGGCCATTTGGGGAGTGAACCAGCAGATGCAAGATCATTCTCTGTCTCTCCTATCTGTAAATATCACCTGCCTTTCCAATAAAAATAAATATTTATTTATTTATTTATTTATTTATTTATAATAATAATTCTATTATAATAATTCTGTCTATATATGTATATTAATACTTCATTTGCTGACGCCCATGTCCAGTGGATTTAAGAAATTACCTTCTTGGGCCCGGCGGCGTGGCCTAGCGGCTAAAGTCCTCGCCTTGAATGCGCCAGGATCCATATGGGTGCCAGTTCTAATCCTGGCAGCCCAAATTCCCATCCAGCTCCCTGCTTGTGGCCTGAGAAAGCAGTGGAGGATGGCCCAAAGCCTTGGGACTCTGTACCCACATGGGACACCCAGAAAGAAGTTCCTGGCTCCTGGCTTCAGATAGGAGCAGCATCAGCCATGGCAGTCACTTGTGAAGTGAATCATTGGACAGAAGATCTTCCTTGCTGACTCTGCTCCTCTCTGTATATCTGACTTGGCAATAAAAATAAAATAAATCTTTTTTAAAAAAATTAGCTTCCTTTTTTATTGACCTAACTTTCCCCCACTTTACAGATGAAATGTGTCAGTGGTGCCTCATATGCCAACACACTAAATAGTCAATCTTATCCATAGCTGGTTTGTGCAGCAACAGCAGACCTGAAGAGCTGAGCAGTTCCAAAGAGATCCTACGACCCACAAAGCTAAAAATATTTACAACGTGGCCTTGAGTAGAAGAAGCCTGCCAACCTCTGCCTCGGCCCACTGCTGCCAGCACTCTGAATAGCAAGAAATTAAATTCCTTCAGAGTCTGGGCTCAGTGTTTGGCAAAGCAGTTGCACCCATGCCTGGGATGCCCCAGCCCGTACTGAGGCAGCTGGATCTGAGCCCCAGCTTCCTGCTAACCAGCACACCAGGAAAGCAGCAGGGGGTGGCTCAAACAAGTGGGTCCTGCTTGAGACAAGGCAGCAGTGCACACTGCTGCCTTCAGCCCGGCCTAGGCCCTGCTACTGAAGACACTGGGGGACCGTCAAGTGGTTAATCCTCCACCTGCAAGCCCGGGAATCCCACATGGGCACCAGTTCGTGTCCTGGCTGCTCCACTTCCCATCCAGCTCCCTGGTTGTGGCCTGAGAAGACAACGGAGGATGGCTCAAAGTCTTGGGACCCTGCACCTGCGTGGGAAACCCGGAAGGAGCTCCTGGCTCCTGGCTTTGGAGCAGTACAGTTCTAGCTCTTGTGGCTGTTTGGGGAGTGAACCAGCAGATGGAAGATCTCTCACTCTGTAAATCTGCCTTCCCAATAAAAATAAATAAATCTTTTAAAAAAAATTTTATAAATGCTTTTGAAAACTGAAAAGAAATTGGCACAATAGCTCAACAAACTAATCCTCTACCCTGTGGCACCAGCATTCCATTTGGAACCCATTTGGTGTCCTGGCTGCTCCACATTCAATCCAGGTCCCTGCCTGTAGCCTGAGAAAGCAGCGTAGCACGGCTCAGAACCCTGGGATCCTGAGCTCACGTGGGAAACCTGGAAGAATCTCCTGGCTCCGGCTTTGGATCAGCTCAACTCTGAGCAACACGGCCCCAGATGGGGAGTGAACCAGCCAATAAAAGACCTTCTCTCTGTGTCTCTCCTTCTCTCTCTCCGTAAAATTGTCTTTTAAATAAAAATAAAGATTTTTAAATTGATTGGAGAATCAATAGTCTATTGAGTATTGAATACTGTATTAATCCAAAGTACCTCTGTGCCATTATATAGTTTGATGTACTCTACAAATACAGGAAGGAACTAAAGTGTTTGCTTCTAGCGTCTCCTCAGTCATCAACACAGAAAACATTGCCTGAGAATCAATCACCAAGAAGCCCAGCATGGTAGCCTAGTGGCTAGTCTTCGCTTGCATCCCATATGGATACTGGTTCGCATGCCAGCTACTCCACTTCCCTTCCAGCTCCCAGCTTGTGGCCTAGAAAAGCATTCAAGGACAGTCCAAAGCTTTGGGACCCTGCACCTATGTGGGAGACCCGGAGGAAGCTCCTGACTCCTGGCTTTGGATCAGCTCAACTCTGGCTAGGTGAACCACTAAATGGAAGATCTTTCTCTGTCTCTCCTCTCTATAAATCTGACTTGGCAATAAAAACAGATAAATCTTTACAAAAAAAAAAAAAAAAAAAAAGACTACAGATTTCTGTCCACCAACTGAATCTATTCCTCCCCACACAGGAGGCGGCAACAGCTGAGTACCTGCAACTCAGTTCCTTCTGCCCCTCTCAACCTAGAGCTAGCATGAGAGCCCACCGAGCAACGGCTCAGGTCCACAAAACTGCCTCCAACTGCTGGTCCCAGGCCCAGCATTCCCCTTCAGCCTCCCCGTGCTTCAAACTGATACATTGGGGTTCTTACAAGCCCTTTCTGGGGTTCGAAGAATCTGCTAGAACTTCTCACATAACTCTGGGAAACACCGATTTACCTGCTTAGGAGAGCAAATATTACAAAGGCTGTGGATGAAAAGGAGCCTAGGGAGAGGCAGGTGATGTGGGGAGCGGCCAGGGCATGTCACCCACCTAGAACCCCACCTGTCCAACTCTCTGGACATCTTCTGTACCTTGTCCATTGTGAGTTTCTTAAGCAGGTGTCATTACAAAAGGCACACTTCATCCTATGGAGGACCCCTGCAATAAACTTCACCTTCAGCCCCTCCCTGACTCCTGGAGGTTAGAGGGTGGGGCAGAGGTCTTTGGGACCAGCTTCCAGCCTGAAACCACTTCAGGGTTGACTTGCAAGTCAACTTATTAGCATACAAAAAGGCACTTATCATTTTGAGATTCCAAGAATTTTAGATGTTTTAACCCAGGAAATCTGGGAAAATAAATTACATATTTCCTATCATCCAGATGAATTCTATTCCTGGAGTTGTGAAGATTAAACGTCCCAATGTTTGGACGCTTGAGAAAGTACCCAACAAATGACACGTGCTATCATCTCACGCTGGAAACTTGTTGGGAAGTAACTTTTAAGACACCATGCTTTCCCTCAGAGATTCTCCCAAAACGGAAGCTTTGGGAAAAAGAGACAATCTCATGGACGCTCCCAGAAACCAGACGTGAGGCATGAGGAAACCAGGCATGAGGAAACAGTACTCAAGAAAGTTCCAAACTTGCAGGGTAATTCACGACCCAGGAGGCTTCCCGTAACCATGAATGAAACTTATATTGAGAAAGGATTGAAACTGCACCCCCCCCAAAAAAAAAAAAAAAACCCTTTAAAACAAAGCAACAACTCTCTAGGACACAAGAGCTCGGGCCTACGGGGCCCTTTCCGGCTCTATCCATGCCCAGAAGATGGTATCCACACAATTCCACCTCGACTGTCACCGCCCTGAGGACGCCGGGCTGGGGCGGGACGCGCGCGCCAGGGCCCGGGAAGCGGGGGGACTCCTCGGGGCTGCCCTTTTCGCCTCAGCCCGCTGCGGAGGGGAGCGGGGGGTTGCCGGCCGGTTACCTCGCAATTGAACTCCATCTCGGCGTCCATGGTGACGATCCGCACCGTGAACGTCTTGGGTTGCTTCCTCTTGAGCGAGCTGAAGCTCATGCGGGAAGCGATGGCCCCGGCCATGGCGCGCGCGCGCGCACGCTGGAGGGGGTCGGGGCTCAGGGCCCGGGACCTTCGCACCCCCAAGGCCTGTGAGCTGCAACTGTTAGCCCCCTTGAAGGAGCCGTCGTACAGGCCGCAGGGTCACCATGGTGTCCGGCAGACCGGCCTGGAAGCGATGTGGACTGCGTGGGTCCCCAGCGGCCAACATGGGCCGCGAGGACCCTGCCCCGAGAGCGGAAAGGGGACTCTGAGGGGGCGGAGGTGGAGGGGGGACAGGCCCTTGACGGCGGCGGCGGCGGCGGGGAGTGGACGCGAGCCGGGACAGACGAGGCGGGAGCGGCCCGGCTCTGCCGGACTCCAGCTGCGGACGGCTCCAGACGCCCGGGGACTAAGAACCCTAGACGGCGGTCGGTGGCCGGGACCCGGCGCGCCTCTCAGCGGCCGGGGAGAAAAAAAAAAAAAAGAGTCGCGGGGCCGCGCAAACACCGGGCGCGCGTGCGCGAGTGGCTGTCACAGTCCTCGCTCCGCGCGCCCGCGGCCAAGCGTCCCCTCCCCGCAAGCCTTCCGCCCGCTCGGGGCTCCGCCCTCAGCACCCTGGGATCCCCTCACACGGCCCACCCACCCGCGCACCCACCCACCCACCCACACAGCGCAACTGAACCCGGCGGCTGCTTCCCAGGTGCCGCGGTTGGCTGGCAGAGCCAAGGGAAGTGGGACTTTTCTTGTGACGTCCCACCCACTTTAGAAAATGTCACCAATAGAAAGTTGGGCTCCTACCCGTCCTCGCCGTGGAGTGGCTGCGGTAGCAGTCATTCTGGATGCTTTTGTTCAAGCGGCGACGCCTATTCTAGCAAGATGGGTTGAGGCGGCCGAGGGAGGCGCGCCTCCGGGAGCTGCCTGGCTTTGGCCCCGGGCGCCTGCAGCCTCGTCCCTCCCCGGATCTCAGGAAAAAAGCGTCTACCTCGCCCCAGGCGACCGCGTTCCGGACACCCGCCCTGCTTCCTACTAGGCACTGAGTCCATTCCGCCTACTGATCTGGTTCTCGGAGTTTAAAAAAAAATAACAATAATAAATTGTGGAGGGCCCGGCGCGGTGGCGCAAGTGGTTAAGTCCTCGCCTTGCACGCCCGGGATCCCATATGGGCGCCGGTTCTAATCCCGCAGCCCCGCTTCCCTTCCAGCTCCCTGCCTGTGGCCCGGGAAAGCAGTCGAGGATGGCCCAAAGCTTTGGGAACCTGCACCCGCGTGGGAGACCCGGAAGAGGCTCCTGGCTTCGGATCGGCATAGTATCGGCCCGTTGCGCTCACTTGGGGAGTGAATCATCGGACGGAAGATCTTCCTCTCTGTCTCTCCTCTCTGTATATCCGCCTTTCCAATGAAAAAATAATAAAAAAAAAAAAAAAAAAAAAAATTGTGGAAACCTAGTAGGTTGCCGACACTTTCCCGCCAAATCCTTCCGTTGCTCTTCAGGAAAAATGACTCTTAACTAAAAAAGGGTAATAATTGTCCTCGCGGCGTGGAGCCGTGGAGGCCTTGGGAACGCGTTGAACCCACACCAGGATTCAGGACGGGGACTGGCACACTCCCTTGGTTAAATCCTATGAAAGGTGCAGGGTTTGCAGATCAGAGTGGGGGAAACGGAGGCATTTTCATTTGCTACAGAAAATGTAATTTCCCACTTGTGATCTATATACATACATTTATTTCCTAATATCAAGGGTTATCACGGGCGTTGGGGGGAATTATATGCTTCTAGATTTTTACAAGGTTCTATTTCTGTTTATTTGATTCACAGAGCGCTCCTCTGCTCATTTACTCCCCAAACACTCCCAGTAGCTCCGGAAAAGTAGATTCCAAAGCCAGGAGCCAGGAACTTCAAGGGTCATCAGAGTCCGCATTAGCAGAATACTGGAGTAAGGAATTAAAAAAACAAAAACGCAGTTATTCTGATTTGGGAAGTAGGTCTTCTACCATGTCTTTTTTTTTTTTTTTAAGATTTATTTTATTTTGGGCCTAGCAGCATGGCCTAGCGGCTAAAGTCTTCACCTCGCATGTACCTGGATCCCATATGGGCACCAGTTCTAATCCCGGCAGCCCTGCTTCCCATCCAGCTCCCTGCTTGTGGCCTGGGAAAGCAGTCAAGGACGGCCCAAAGCCTTGGGACCTTGCACCCGCGGGGGGAGACCTGGAGGAAGTTCCTGGCTCCCAGCTTCGCATCAGCACAGCACTTGGGAAGTGAATCATTGCATGCAAGATCTTCCTCTCTGCCTCTCCTCCTCTCTGTATATCTGACTTTCCAATAAAAATAAATTTATTTAAAGTCAGATATACAGAGAGGAGGGGAGACAGAGAGGAAGATCTTCTTTCCGTTGATTTACTCTCCAAGTGACTGCAACGGCTGGAGTTGCACCAATCGGAAGGCAGGATCCCAAGGCTTTCCCAGGCCACAAACAGGGAGCTGGATGGGAAGTGGGGCTGCTGGAATTACAACCAGCGCCCATATGGGATCCTGGTGCATTCAAAGCCAGGACTTTAGCCTCCTAGGCCACCGCACCAGACCCTCCTACAGTGTCTTAAATGATATTTTAAATAGCCCTTGCGTGTTGAATGCAAACAGTTACATAAAATTCGATGGAAGGGGCCCGGCGCAGTGGCACAAGTGGTTAAGGTCCTCGCCTTGCACGCCCGAGATCCCATATGGGCACCGGTTCTAATCCCGGCAGCCCTGTTTCCTCTACAGCTCCCTGCTTGTGGCCTGGGAAAGCAGTTGAGGACGGCCCAAGGCTTTGGGAACTTGCACCCGCGTGGGAGACCCGGAAGAGGCTCCTGGCTTCGGATCGGCATAGCATCGACCGTTGTGCTCACTTGGGGAGTGAATCATCGGACAGAAGATCTTCCTCTCTGTCTCTCCTCTCTGTATATCCAGCTTTCCAATGAAAAATAACAAAAATAAATCTTTAAAAAAAAAAACTGGCATCATCATTATGGAATCCTAGCACATGCAAGGTGAGGACTTGAGCCACTAGGCCACTGCGCTGGGACCCAAAACATAATTTAAAAAAAAAAACTTTTAAATCTCTCTCCCTCTTAAATGTATTAAGAAGAACGGTGAACTGCCATTCTAGAGCACTGTTTGCTCTAACTATCCTAATAGCATAAGTCCAGCTTTTCTGCCGGGGTCCCTACAGTGCCAGGAAGCAACAGCCAGGCCCCACAAATTATTTGCGGGCACACCCAGGATGGCTGCTGCAGGCAGACTTGATGTCCTGCATGCTGCTAGCAAATTCTGCCCACAGAACCTGGCTGTTCGCAGCAATATGAACTTGGCGTGGGCGTGTCTTCATTTTCCTCCCTTCAATTCCTCCCTGCAGGTGGGAGAACCAGATTGGATTCTCCTCTGGACTTCCCACCGAGATGACAAATCAGGCCTTTAAACCAGACCCAGGGATGCTAGCAGAAAATAAGCCACTCTAGGAAGCCATTGAGGAGAAGCAAATGGAAGTGGATTGGACAGCAGGAGTTCAAAAATAGTGTTGAAGGGCAGCAATAGCCCGTTTTTATGGAAGTTTTACTGAGGTCGAGCACTGGGCTAGCGCGGCAGTCCTGCCAAGGATGGGTGAGGGTAAGGTGCCTTGAGTTCATCCAGGTAGATAGGTGCGCCTGGATCTCACACAGGAGATTGCAACCAAAAATAAAAATAAAGAGGAGATGGACTACTGTGCTGTTATTACAGGTGCAAAGAATAGGAGCAGGTGTTGGATGCGGTGGGTACTCAGAGTGGGTTCAAACCCTACGTCAGCTTTTGATTCCGGCTTCTTGCTGCTATGCATCTGGGGAGCCCACAGGTGGTGAACAAACCCTTGGGTCCCTGCCGCCCACATGGGAGACCCAGATAGGGTTCCTGGCTCCTGGCTTTGTCCTGCCCAGGGCTGATGGGGAGTTTCTATCTGTGTGTGTGTCACTCGGGTTTTTTTTTTTTTTAAGTGGAAGAAAACCATTAAAATACGGATGATAATAATGCTACTACTTACGGATTTGGGGAGGAGTGATTCGAATAGAATTCATTAAGACCCAGATACTAATGACCATGCTCTGTGGAAGGAATAAGCGAGAGACATAAGGAAACAATTGCTTACGCTCTCCACGCTTTTCCTATAAGGCTCTCTGCAAGGTGCCTTACATGCTTTATTTCTTTTGATGTTTCCCAATACCCTCCTTGGTGGGGATGGCAGCCTTACTTTATACGTGAGGAAACTGGCTAAGGTTGAAACGAGGGATGCTGACGCTTCTAAGTGTGCTTTGCATCCAAGACTGCCCTCGTCCGTCACTCACCTACTTTACATTTTCTTCCTCTGTTCTTCCAAAAGATGAATAGTTCTCAAGAGGACAGTCCTGCCCTACAGGGGGACATTTGGCAGTGTCTAAAGACTTTGACCCACAATTCAGATAGTCTTTGAGCCTCCAGGGCTGAAAGTCAACGGATGCTGAAAAAATATCCTACCCAGGACAACCCCTCTGCAACAAAGAATGAAACACATCGCGTGTCAATAGTGGCACTGCAGGCTGAGCCACTTCTTGCCATACCCTACAACCCGTGTCGGGGTGCCCATACAAGCAACAGAGAGGAGGAGAGACAGAGAGAAAGATATTCCGTCTGATAATTCACTCCCCAAATAACCACAACGGCCGGTGCTGCGCCGATCCGAAGTCAGCAGCCCCGTGTCTCCTCTGGGTCTCTCATAAGGGGAAGAGTCCCAAGGCTTTGGGCCATCCTTGACTGCTTTCCCAAGCCACAAGCAGGAAGCTGGATGGAAAGCAGGGATGCCAGGATATAAACTGGCGCACATATGGGTCCCCAGCCCATGAAAGACAAGGATTTAGCCACTAGGCTACTGCGCCAGGCCCAAGAAATACAAATCTTCATTTGCCTTATCAAGTAGCCCACTACTTTTATGTTCTACATACTGTTTTGTGATTCAATTTTTCACTCATAATGTATCATGAATATTTTTCCACATCATTAAATATCCTGTAATGTAATTTTCTAAGGATGGCCAGAAGCCATGTATGGGCATAAATTTTCTTTGCCTTCTTATGCACATTTGACTCATAAAACCCATCTTGCTTCTCTCTTGGCATTTGCTATTAAAAACTTCTGAGCTAGGCCCAACACAGTGGCCTAGTGGCTAAAGTCTTCACCTTCTACATGCTGGAATTCCATATGGGTGCTGGTTCTAATCCTGGTGGCTCCACTTCCCATCCAGCTCCCTGCTTGTGGCCTGGGAAAGCAGTTGAGGACGGCCCAAAGCCTTGGAACCCTGCACCCACGTGAGACAACCAGAGGAGGCTCCTGGCTCCTGGCTTCGGATCGGCACATCACCAGTCGTTGCAGCACTCACTTGGGGAGTGAATCACCGGACGGAAGATCTTCCTCTCTGTCTCTCCTCCTCGCTGTGTATCTGATTTTGCAATAAAAATAAATCTGAAAAAAAAAA